GGGTGTGAATGCACGAGAAGACGTAGATATAGTAGTGCCTTTATCGCAAGGAGGCACTCAAAACATAGGGCAAGCTTAAGGTTCTCTTGAGTGGTTTTCAATAGAAGAAGAGAGGTGGGACACATTTAACAGCGTATACCTACGCAACCTATGGTGAACTTCTGGTGTGCCGGCCACATATTTCGTAAGTGCAAATCTGTATCGCTACCGAGGGAGTGGCTCCTATAATGGACCAATGGGCTTGGAATATTTCTATGATTTCACGTGAATTTTGCGGCGTTTTAAGCAAGGTGATTGAAAATGTTTTGCCACACAATTTCCTGTCCAAAATAATTAAAGCATCATGGATTTTTTGCGAAAATTTTCATGCGAAGTTAGATCAAATATAAGCATAATCATATATGTAAATAGTAGAAGACTTAGTATTTTTTATTGCTGTCTATATGATAAACATATTTTATAATAATAAGAAATGAACAATTTTATTCAAAATGAATTTTCCTACACATTTAGTGTGTTAAGTTTCATATTAATAACTCTTAAATGTATTTCCTGGGCAAGAAATATTCTTCAAACAAAATAAATTTATGTTATTCTCAAGTAATATATTTAATTTATTCATATATAACTCTTAATAACAATAGGTATAATTAGATCATTCAGAATACATATTTTGAATCTTACACTTTTAAAATCAAAGGAATGAAGATTACACTGAGATAAGAAAATACTAGACTCATTGTAATACTTCCAGCTATTCTCCAACTCTACAAATAAGTCACGAACATCAATTCGAACATCAGTGCGTGACAAGAGTCGCGAAAGTGAAATGTCGACGATTAAATAAACTTATATAATGAAGGTACTACGAAATTTTCTACATAAATGATAGCAGCATTTATACGCGACACATTACAACTGCGAAACGAATAAATAATATATGCAAAATAAATGTAAACAACAGCATGCGCTCGTATGCACAGTTTCAAACATTCAGCGTGACAAGAGCAGTAGAAGCTCATTGATCCATTTTTGAAACTCCTCCCTCAGCGGCGATACTGTTGTGCACTTGTGAATTATGCGTCCCGTCCATACCTGTATTTGTGCCTCGACTTTCCTTGTCACAGAGCTCTCACTGGGTCTTTCGGCTGAATTGAATTTTAAGAGTTTTGATGTAGCAAGTATACTCTACATATACAGTAAAGGAGCTGAAAGGTATAAAATGTTTAAAATACATCTGCAAAAATTATATATACCTATATGTATGCACAATTATAGATAACGTCTGCGGAATCTACATCCGAGACCAACACTATGGTAGTAGGCTTTCTTACGACCATCCCAAACAGGGTGGCCTTTTTATTGAGATTTCACAACTGGGAATAATTCATTTCCTAAAACATATTATTCTATACAGTAACAATAGTCAAAATTTTCAAATGAACTCAGAAAAACAGACATGTTTGGAATAAGAAAAGTCAATATACGCTGAGGTAGCTGAAGAAATAAAAATTGATCACAAAATTTCTTACAAAAGATGTACAAACTAAACTATTGGGTATCTGCTGCATAGCAAGAAAAATGTCAAAGAAATTCACTATATACCTTGTTTCAAAAGTTATCTCAGATTCTTCACCAAGAATTGTCCATGTAAGTTTTGTCCAATGGGTTAGTTTACCAAACTTTCGAGCAGTAGAGATTTTACAGTATAATGAAAGATGATTAATGAACAAAACATGCATTTATTGTACACAAATATGCTGCTAATTCAGACCGAATGAACCATATGTTATCGATAATATTTCATTTTACTATTTTCAGTATACAGCACAATGAGTATTCAATTCGTTAAAATATATTTAATCTATTATAAATTTCTGAGATTATTCAGTATCAATCACTTGTGAAGAAAATGTTTCTATGAAGAGCACTTGAACTCAAAAAGAATAAGATATCAATAATATCGATATTCATTCACGGCAGCTGAAAGCTGCAATCATTTGAAATTCTGTTCTCATTATATTGAGAATGTATGGTGTACATGTGCACTAGAAATCAATACAAAGCATCCATTAACGATGATCGATGGGGTCGACTACGATTTCGCAATCATCCTATTGCTTCCAGGATTTCATAGATAGTGTTTCGTATCAGACGAAGAGACAGAGACCACTCTTTTGGATTTCGATTATCGTCTTTTCCTGTGATTATATGAGCCCCTCCTAGCTATTTTTATACACATGAGAGTATTTTTTGTTACAACCAATGTTCTTGAAAGACAGAACCACACCCACAGTATATATTATATTTTCTAACTACAGAATTTATTTTTCTGATGAAACGTTTTGAAAAATGTAGTTTTTTCGACACAAAAAAGCGAAATGGAGAGATTTTGAAAATTAAAACTACATGACTCAAGAATTTCAAAAATATGAAAAAAAAAGAGTTGTAATGCAAGTTTCTACGAAAAAAGCAACGTTAGAAAAATATTATAGTTCTAAAATATTTAGAATATAATCATACTTCCTGTCAAGGGCGAATTATTGAAGGTCTAATAGTTAAATTGAGTTATTATTATTATATCCAATATTTATATTGAATTATTGATAAATTATTGAAGGACGAATATTTATATTTGTTTAAATTTTATGGAAAAATTATTACATACCACATATTAAAATGCTTACTAAGGCTCACTGAAATGAAATTAAGGAAATATCTTTATATTTTTTTCAGTGGGAGTTACGACTTTTCTCAATTCGCTTTTTCATTACTTAAAAAGGAAAGAAACTGCATTAAATTTTGTGAAAATTATTAAACCACATTAATGAATGTATTAGCCTAGCTTCCAAATGTAATAATTTAAATTACTTTAAGGTATTTGGTTAAAAATATGCTTTCAGAGGAACTGTAAGATAAATAAACAGTGGCGGCTCGTGGCTAAAATTAGTGGGGATGCTGTTCCAAAAAAATTTAACCTTTGTTTTAAAATTATGTAAAAGGAAACAAACATGTATAAAAAGAAAATTTATTTTGAAACTTCATGAAATCTTACAAGAAAAAAATTGAACATTTAATTACTTTAACCAAAATTATTACAGTTCAATCTTTGTCTAGTCATTTAAAAATGAAATCCATTCCTCTTGTTTTAATTTGCGCGAAAAGATCAATAATTTTCTCCTTGATCTCCGGATGACAATTGAGGAAATTTTTCTTTATTGAAAACAATGCAAGCGCATTTACTCTTTCCAAATTCCTAGTGCTTCTTAGAAAAGTTTTCATTCTTTTCAATGTTGAAAAGCAGCGTTCTGCCTCTGATGTAGTCATGGGAACTCTCAAGAGAATTTCTATCAGTTTCGTAATTTCACTAAGAACATCATCTAGATTATTTTCGAAGATAAATTTCAGTAGCTCAATTAATTTGCAGTATTCATGGATATCAGACCTACAATAAAATACTTTTAGTTCAGTTTCAAGCTTTTCTTTTCCAATCATGGGATATGCTTCAGTGGTCAGTACTATTTCTTCTGTAGAACGTTCATTCCTAAAGCTAAGCATTTCTTGTTAAACAATTTAGCAGATGCTAAGTGTTTAGTGGAAGAATATCTGTGCATTATATCAATACATAGTATAAAGTCACATATTTCCTTAGCTTCTGCCATCAGTGTCTTTGAAAATTCTTACAGTACTTTGAGTTCCTTAATTCTAAAATGGCAGTTTTGAAAACTTTAAACACACTAATTTCTCTGGATTGCATTTAGTTGTATATTATTTCAGCATGAGGTATCTGATAAAAGATCTCTAACCAAAACTTGAAATTATCATCATTGAGATATTTTAAAATTCCTGTTGCTTTTGCAATAGTTTGATCTGCATTTGATGTTGACTGAATTGCAGTAAGGCAATTTTTTAAAAGTTGCAAATTTTCATGAACTCTGTTTATTGTCCGTATGAGGAAGTTCCACTTTGTGGAGGAATACCACACTCGCGGAGTAAAACGAAATCACGTTTTCAGCAACATGCCAGAATTTCGGCACTGCAATAACGACAGTGCTCTTCCCTCTACCCGGCTCGCGTGCTGCTTTCTGTGTGCCCATGCGCAGAACAGCCAAACACCACGTTACTGGAATGTGAAGCGCGCAGTTCCAAACAAAGACTGTCGTACCTTTTTCACAAAGTGGGGGATAGCTACTGACATTAACCTTAAGGATTATGTATTGTAAAAGTATAGAGAAAGAATTAAAGACTAAAGGGCACACTATATTAAATATTAATAATAATAATAATTGGAAATAGGGGGTGCTTCAGTTCCAAAGTGCTTATTACGAGCCGCCACTGTAACTAAATATCAAGTGGATAAATGATTTTTGACAATAGGAATATTTAGTAAATAAAGTCTTACTTTAATTACTTGAAAATGTCATTCAATAAAAGTGTTTAAAAGAAGGCAATTTATACATAACTTAGCGTTTCATAAGTTTTGCTTTTTTTATATTATCCTTTCATCAAAGAAAAGGATTTTATACATGAGAGACTGGCATAGGAAAATTGATAATTTCAGCGCATTATAAATAACTAGTAGGCTTAACATGTCATATTATTGAACTCTAATGTACTATAGCTTCCTGGAATATTTTTATAATTATTGCTCTTACATATGATAAATATGTTTTCCTTGCACTGTCGAATTAAATTCGTAGATAAGACTTCATCAAATAGTTCAGAATGATTAAGAGCTATTGGGTTAAGTTTATAAAGAAGGATAAAAAGTTCAGGAGCAAAATTCAGATTTGATTTGGTTTGATTTGCTTTAGGAAAGCACTCAAGGCTATTTGCATATGGGAAGTGAGACCTTCGTTGAGGAATTCCTGAATGAAACTGGCTCGTAACCAAGTTTTGCACAGGAAAACCACAAACCTGCTCATGAATCTACCCTGTTCACATGATTTGAAGTCAAGAAATGAGATTATGAAATTGATATGTTGAACCAGATTTATTACCGTAGCAACCCTGGTCAAAGCTGAGAGATCTTGTTCTTCCATACTCATTCCTTGTTGTTTCTTCCCAGCTTAAAGTAGTCCTTTGTTCTGCCTGAAAAAGAAAACCAGGTATTTAAATATTTTTACAAGAAATATTACTCGTATTAAATAAAATCGATATTTGATACTTATATTATCCTCCCATCTTAATAGTAATCGATACTTATTTAATATTGTTATGAAATGTCAAGACGCGGTGAGATGGCTTCCCCACAAAGCAGTTTTAGGGCTGCCATAAAATGGCAAAGGAAGGCAGGGTTGCCACATTTGGCGAGAAATCGCCCATTTGGCTACAAAATTGGGGATGTGTCATTGACTGATGGAGAACCTTCTGGAACGAATTCTTACCGATTTAGCCCATAATGTTCTCGAACACAAGTCAAGAGCTATACGTTTGTGCATCGCGAGTTGTAACGTGGAGAGTCTCGAGAGTACATGGAGTTCCGAGAACGACCAAGCAGAGTCGGAAGCTGTACTCTGGTGCTTTGCAGTGAAGCTGTCTCCACCGTTATTGCCTGACAGTGTGAAGGCTGTGTCGCTGATTCTTCCAGGTTGTTTACAGTAGATCTTCGCCGACTGTAAAAGTGTTTTGGAGCTGTTCTGATTGATATTGGTAAATAAAGCGTGTTTTGATACTTCATCAAGTGTCGTCGTTATTCACTCCAAATCTACAAACCCGTACGAACGTGAAGTAAGAAAATAACGTAACAACTGGCGTCAGAAAAGAAAAACGCAACAATATCTTTGATTAAGACACAATAACACGCCGAATAAATACTAATTCAGAAGTCAAACAACAAAAATCAGCGTTATATTTACAAAATTTTCACAGGACTAGTTTCGATGGTTTTACCGAACCACAATCTTCAGATGCAAAACCGGAAATGAACAAGATAGGAAATAATGATTAATTAATCTTTATTAATTAATCATTAACTAATCATTAACTAATTAATCATTAATTAATCATTATTTCCTATGTTGTTCATTTGCGGTTTTGCAGCTGAAGATGGTGGTTCGGTAAAACCATCGAAACTAGTCCTGTGAAAATTTTGTAAATATAACGCTGATTTTTGTTGCTTGACTTCTGAATATCTTTGATCTTAAATCATTCTCTTTTAGCAGTTATTCTTTATACTAGGTACTCTATAATATACACTATGTACTATATGATTGCATAATTAAGTACTATGAAGCACAGTTTACTCAGTAAAGTTACTTATCATTTATACGATATATAACTTCGGCAAATAGCGATTTTTTTCTGATTCGTTTATCGACTGTTTTTTCGCATCTGAAACTCTTTCTTCAACTAAAGTTCTTTCATTTCTTTCAAAAGCATATGGAATTTGTACATTGGAATATGAGGTGGAAAAAAGAAGACGCAGACAGACTGTACAAGTATGTCGTCTCAGAATATACAAGGATTCAAATAGTGACCGTAACTGGAAAAGGTATCTCTTAGAGGGATAGAATAAGTAACGAAGTCTGTTGATTAAACAGACTTTTAGCTGGAAGTACTTCATTCCAGTGTCATACGGCAAGCATATTTTAACTGATCTATTGCTTGTACTTTCAACTGTTATTAATTTGCTTTAAGATTCAAAATCAAAACACACATTATATAACGCTTTATTTTTTCCTGTAGGAAAAAATAAAACCTACATTCATGTTAAAACATCCTATAGAAATCTGTTATTTATTTAAGACCAGAGTATCTGAAAAAAAATATGATCATTCTCCATTTTTATATTGAATATGTATTATGTAGTGTGAATGCTTACGATCTTAAAAATTAAACACTTTTTTAAATAGGTAGCACATTTATCAACAGAAGGACTGGAAAAAAATATTAAATTTTTATAATAGCAGTGATATAATAATAGTGTAATGGTAGCATTCAAATTATACATAAAAAATTAGGCGTCAATTCTGTACAACGTTTGCCACTGCTCACTCTGAAATCGTTGATTTTGTCCAAAAATTCGTCTGAAAGTGGATAGTATTACTTTGAGCATCAATAAACAACGGCATTGAGATGTATATTATTATTTTCTAAGTCTAGGAATCATAACTTATTATTATATTCTTCTTAAATAAAACTCCAAATGCGAAGATTTCTGCTGTGTTAAATAAAATTTTACATTATGTTAGAATCTTAAAGCAAATAGAGAGTCATCTAGAAAAGAAAACAAAAATGTATCTTTATAAATATAAAATATTTTAGGAAGTGAAATAGTCAATGAAAGGAAGGAAACCGTCAAGTTTGTCGAATCGAAGGAAAGTATTATGCTGGCCGAATTCCTTGGACAAATATTTTCATTAAAAGTAAATGTTTTTGAAGTTGCTGGGCAAAATTTAAAATTTTAGATTTCTTCAAATTCCCCTCTTTCTATAGGTAAGATTTGCTTTAGCATTCTAAAACATAATCCCTTTCTACAGGATTTCAAAAAATTAATTTAGACTATATACTGATTTTTTAAAGTTTTGTCCTATTACTATATTTCCCTCATGATCTTTACTCTTGATTCTCTATTTTACTAATTGTGTGTGTGTGTGTGTGTGATTATGGCAAAGCCTCGAGGGCTATCTGCCTAAGAGGAGGGATGCCTTCGTGAAGGACTTTCTAAGGGAAACTGGCTCGTATACACGTTACACATGGGGAAAACCACGAAAACGGCCATGCAGCCAGCCCGTTCGAACCTCGGACCGAACTACCAGTGTTCAGCGACTTTACCGCTCGGCCGCTGGTGGGCCTATTTTACTAATATCACTGTACTAAGAAACATACATACCTTTTTAGATTTAACCATTTTTATTAACACATGTCAAAAGCCTTAAGTAGCATAAAGGTGTTGTGCAAATAGGTAATCACATTCATGGGCGATTATTATGTTTCAGATGACCATTCTCTCGAAAAGCAAAATACTAGAAGGAATGAGGGATTATGGTTTCTCCTCATTAGTCTCTAAACTTGAAAGTTTAAATGTATATAATACCTGAAAATCTCTGAGAGCTACTTGTTCTTGGGGAGTTTCATTCTGTACACCAACAACCGCAGATGTTGCTTGCTTTTCCTCAGGTCGAATGAGAAGACGGTTGCAAATATCATCCCGAGCTTCTTCCTGTGCCGCTTGAAGTTGGGCAATAGGTATGATCACTAAAAATATATAAAATACGTAATTGTTTTTACCATAATTTGCAATTATTTGATCTTAGTATATAGTATATATTTTATTAAAATAGAATGTCATGGATAGTTTTTAGGAATTAACGTCCCAAATATGTTAGACGCATATGAATACACATACGTAAACTGAACATACAAAAAGCAACATGCGAGATCAGATAATTGTATTGTATATGCATTTTAAATACTTCTCTAAAAATGTATGTAAATTAATTCTATACCAGATGCCCTACCTAATGTTTACAACTATTTTTCTATAACTTATCAAAAGATCTCAGATAAAATAAAGATAAATGCGTTATTATAAATAATTAAACTACTATATAAAATAAAGATAAATGCGTTATTATAAATAATTAATATAGTTTCCACGTATCCGAATTAACCTTCCAGCACGCGCGTATGTGCAAAATTTGCGACAAATTCAGTTTTTAATGCACATTTTTCGCATATGGAAGCTGAGACGTCTGAAGGTCATTTCTATTCCTCCTTTCTATCCTTCCTCACATCATGGAATGTGCCAACAGGAAGTCATTTCACTTTTCTTTTAACTGGGCTTTTGTGCTACGTGACAGCTTTTTCATAAAAGTTACGACACGCACGTGGTCGTGTTTTAAAATTCGGAAAACAATTTTTTTCTCAAATATTTTGTAATTTTTGTATGTATTATTAGCGTTATATGTATTATTTTAATTTGAATACATTTGGCTCTGTAAGTTTTATATCGGTTTTCATGGCAAAAAAAATATGTGCAACCAGCTGACTTTGCTCGGATTCTTCAAGAATTATCTGATGAAGAAAAGAAAGATAAGGAAACCTTTGGATGGAAGACTAGTAGCGATTTCCATTCCTTATTTTCTTTTATTTCTATTTCTTAGAAATAAATAAAAACATAAGTTAGTTTAAACTGCGTTTATGTAAATTTTCTTGCTGAAGTAAGTAATGTAATAAACTTATTTTTTTCCTATTAAGCTGTTTTCCTTTCTTATTATCTATACTTGTCTTTGCTGAATATTAAATTATTTTCGGTTTTAAAATAATTATTAAATAATAAATTTAAAATTTTCTATAATGAAATACATCATTGGATTTCCATCGCACTAACATAAGAACTTAAAAATAATTTACTTATATTTGAATGTGATATCATTTGTAATTTGCAATAATTAGATTAATATTTTATTTCTTAACAAATTTATTATCAATATTCACTCATTTCTGTCATTTTTCGTGTCACAAATGGTAAAATAACGGATGTCGTAAAAAAATGCGACCCGCGCTTGCTGGAAGGTTAAATTTGATACCATCCTAGTCGAAAAGTGAATAAGTGCAGCATAAGTGTCTTGGATGTTTTTCTATTGTCCATATACTTACCTATTGCAGGTGAGAGAATTTTGTCTTTTCCTTTACTGTGTTTTTGTTAGAACAAAATTATATACTTAAATTATTTTTCCATTCTCTTGTGATATATTAAACACCATTCAAAGCTAAATATCTACTAGACACCGTTGGGAATTTAGCGTATACATTTCACCTAAATTAATGAAATAAAATATATATTGTATTATATTATAAATTTATAATATGAAAGTGCTGAAAATATAAACAAAATGAAAATTATATGAAATACTGAAATACTGAAAATATAAACAAAATTACGCAAATACTTTTTACTTGGTCTAAAAGGAGCGTAACTATTCTGAGAAATGGAATTGCACTATACTGATTTATAACACACACTACTGTATCTACATCCCAACATATATGAGGACAGATCAAGATTTGTTATACGACTGCTTTGCTACAAATATTTATTTAAAACAGAGCGTCAAATCCATATACACAAAATTATTCTGAAGTAAATAAAAAAAGAGTTCCTCCTCTTTACGGTTTTCTTTAACTTTCCATATAATCTAAGTTCACGGCATTAGAATTTCTTTCTTTGTTTTTGTTCTAACTGCAGTAAACGTCTTCATCTATCATCCGTATTGCTTATTACTTTCGTTAATATATAAGACAAATATCGAATATTTTATTTAACAACATTATTCCAATGAGAACTTTATATAACTAACATATGATTTTTATATCAACATTTTTTTGAAAAGTAATTATTAGCTAATTCAATGCACTGAACAGCGCAATGAATTATCCTGCCTTCCTTTTTATATGGCCCACCAGCGGACGAGCGGTAAAGACGATGAACACTGGTAGTTCGGTCCGAAGTTCGAATCCCGCGAACGGGCTGGCTGAATGGGCGTTTTTGTGGTTTTTCCCCATGTGTAACGTGTATACGAGCCAGTTTCCCTTAGAAAATCCTCCATGAAGGCATCCCTCCCTTTAGGCATATAGCCCTCGTGTGCTTTGCCATAATTAAATAATCCAATCCTTTTTATATGAAACATTTCAAATGTCATCTACTCCGTGAGTTGTGCTATTGATCTTGTCTTCTTTTTCGTGCGATTTCATTCCATTTAATTTTCTCGTAGAAAATTTTATTTCCAAAATCCTTTCCCATTAACATCTTGTTTTGAAAACTAAATAATTTAATAAATATTTTAACTCAAATGTTTATATCCTCGTAGTTTTATCTATTTTAGTTTTCCGCAACTACCTTCGTTCTCTGGTGTTACACTTCTTACTCGTTATTTATGCTTATCAAAACTTTAATTTTTCTTTCAACTCTGCTTATCATTGTCCGAAAGATTTATACAATGTTGATAAATGATAGTTCGATATAGCTCATAATTCGTTAATAGTAATGAATAAAATTTAAAGAATACCTTGAATTGGCTTATTATTTTAGCGTATGTTCCCCCATCTCTCATGAAATTATCCATATTTTAAAACGATACTTGTCTCGTACTTTATCATACTCTAACACAAGCGTTCTTCTTTATAAACTGCGATTAGTACAGTAAACAAATAGTCATCAGTATCAACAATCAATAACATCAGCATCAACAATCAATAACATCAGCAATAGCACTCTTCTGTAATGGAGATGGAATTATCCTATCATGCATACTTTTCAGGTTCCGAACACTAAAATAACAATATAAGTGTGAGTTTTAATGTTATAAATAGAAATATATTATAGCGCAAAATTAAGTTATATTTTAGGAAGTACAAAAGGAAAAATTTCTTCAAATACGTTATGCTTTTTTTGTCTCTTTTACCTTTTATCTGGAGCATCACATTGTACCATCAGTAACCTTTTTTCACAATTTCATCAGTAATCACAATTTTGCATGTAACTCTTCTCAATAATGTCGATATTCTAATGAAATAACTTCCTCTGTTCCTGACAGAGAAAATAGCCAATTCATGAGGACGATATCTCAGTGCCATTTTAAAGGCATTGCTCAGTACACTGCGTTATATGCCGTTATAGGTTCCAACACCAATTAATGGAAAATTTCAGATCTGAAATTTCTCGACAAAACTTTTCACGTACTTCCAAAAAGCCTTCCATGCTTCACTTTCGTTTCTTACAACTGAGTTTTCTCATTAACCATATTTTGGAAGTTGTCTTATCTGATCAGTATTCTGTATAATTAATCAGTCATTTTTCACTGTTAAATACCATTAAGTATTTGCATTGCGGTTTCTGAAGTATCAAACACAAACATTATTTTCAAGTATTTGTATTGTGGTTTCTGAAGTAGTAAACACAAATGAGTAAATGAATCACCTCGCTTTCAACAAATTTCGCAACTCAAATAGCAAACCGTAAGCCTTAAAATTCCATTAAGTATGTTACTCATAATACTAACATTGCGTAAATCTAGGAAAGATTTTCAGGATTCGATAGGACTTTTATTTTATGTTTCATAAGCCAGTGCGACGAAACTTGACACACTGAGATTGTGCAGACACATCGCCTTTAAATTATCTTTTGACGAATCTATCAACAATTACCATTCATTCTATTTATACGTGATGCCTAAAGCTGCTAGGAGAGCTATAACACTAAGAATCCATGTTTTATGGTTTTATAAAAAAGCTATAAGAAGTAGGTTATTTTATATATGTTGTTGCCACAGACCATTTTCCGGGGGCATGTGCAGTCACTCACCATAAATATAATAGAAAATGCGCGTACTGTTTGTGCACTGGCTGGGCAAGTTCTCCATAATTTAACTGAAAAATAAGATAACAGAAGGATATTAATTTTATATATGACATGAGCGAAAAGGACTATAAGAAAGATTAAGTAATGTTGTACACATAAAAAGAAGTTTTAATCACAGAAATGATGATGAATATGAAAAAGCATAAAGACGCCAGCTGTATTTCTATATTGTCTCTAAGATGTAATTCGACTTCTTTTCATTTTAAACATGCACTCCATTCAAAGCTAAAATTACATGCACTTACCAGTTATACGCTGATTTGCATATATCTTAAGATGGCATGGTTTAAACAGGGTAGTCCGGTTTCAGATTGAATCACTTTGTTTTTACATTTATAGATCAAATCTAGTATAAGTACTACTTTTTTGTTGGGTCATAAAACTAGATATAACTCAAGTTGCATGGCCTACGTTCTTTCTCTTTGCAACTTCGAAAGAAAAGACATTCCCATATTTCCATTGTTATTGTCGTATTTAGCATCCCCAAAGTATGTAATATTAAACAACTGCTGTAACAATGTAAAGGTTTTATATCACAAATTCAGTTTATACCTTGTAATTGTTGTTCCTATGATGCATTTGCAAGCACAGTAGATAACCATCTTTCTGAATGAAAGGAAATTAATTACTTCATATGTTCCGTAGACAGAAAAGTAAACAGCAACAAATCAACAACATGGAAGTATGGATCAAAATTCAAATTGTTAAATAAAAAGCGAAGACCTAGCACATATATGTCAAATTTCAAGGAAATTTTGTAAATTCCCGTTTCTGTTCTTATTTCGTTTTGCAAGATAGCGAAAAATATTTTTCTTTATTTAGAAATAGAATTATTGTAACATTTTCTTGAGTTTCGTTTCCTGGTTTCTCGCTTTTTTTCATCCGAGATATCCCACCTTTTCGTAACAGATTCTGCACAACATAGAGTTTATTACATCAATTAAACAGCGTATTTATATATTTCATTTATTTTAGAGTACTTTATGCGAACTAATAACTAAAGAGTTGAAAGTGTCTTTCCTGTTGATAATTCCCCATATTGTGACTTTACAAATGGCGTTGCTACTTATGATTTAATTAGACAACAAAGTTTTAAAGACAAGAAGAATTTGTGAACGAGAAACAGCTTAACCGTTCTTGACCCACAAGAGCACATGGAAAGAATTCAAATTTAATTGAAAGCACAAGTGGAGAAAGATCTCTGGAAAACAGCTTAAGGTGTTAACAATTACTCTCTAAAATTTTGATTCGATTTCCCGCTATAGAAAAAAGAAGGGCTGCTAGCCCGATAGACTTAATTACTAAAACACTAAACTACACAAGATTACCTTTAATTTCTTGCAGCTTACCTTCAGACGTGATAAGTGAGCACTTTCTCCATATGCAGCATACACAGCAGATGCAGGATACCACGAAAGAAACTCCACCTAGAATTGAAGACATCAACCACATCCGATTACCTGCTCGTCTTTGCTTTTCAGCTTCAGAGATGGTCACAGCAGCGCTGGTGGTAACTTCAACTAGGGAAATGGAATTAATAATGATATTAACACTCAAAATATTTGCATAATACGTTTGCATTAAAAACACCTCAGGCCTTACATAGAAATGTTTAATATGTAATGACTGCCTTACTCTAGAAAATAGCATTATACTGTTTTCTGCACTGAGACGAATGTCTACTCACTTTGCTCTTATTAAATGAAGTAGAGGTAGATATTAAATTTTAGGAGATTTTTAATTATAGCCTTTAAAATAATTTCAAAATTATTTTCCGTCTCTTCTTTTGACCTGTAACCGTGAAAATAACAAATGCAAAAAGAAAAAAAATCGAGTTTGATTTCCATTTGTTTGTTTCAAATCTGCACTAAAGTAAAATTATCCAGTAAAATGCTGAATTATTCGGGGAATCGAAACTAATAAAATATCAAATGAAAAAATATGAAAAAATTTGGAAAGCATTCAGATTTTATATTTCGCCCAAAGGGGCGTTTGTTAACGTTTTGTGTGTTACCTTTATTTATCAAATATCATATTCTTCGCACTTAAATCATAAAACTCAATCCAATAGCAATATCGCAAAATAATTTTTAAAATGCATATCTTTAGAATTTCAGATACAGAGTCTGGTACGCTGGAGATAAAAGAATATTTTTTCCGTACAGTGTTGCAATCCACGCTTTGAGATTGCTGTGTTTCTTAATCAAAAAACTCATAAATGCTTTGCTAAATATAAAATAGATAATAAAACAAATTCCAACTTCGAAATTTGGGCTTCAAGATGCCCATATTAGGGTGGAGACGTACCTCATTCAAACTTGGACGGCTCTAGATACCTTTGTTTCATCACAATGCGATAAACATACATACATTTATGCAGATTCTTCATTATTTAATTTCTTTAAATATAAGACAGCGTGATAATATTTGCTGGCAACAATTTTAAAAGTGAAACAGACATTTAAAGTTTTCAACGCAAAATGCCAAAGCGAAATTAATAGCTTCCTTGGCTCAGGCCCTTTGGTCTCTAAAATGACTTCTGTTGCCAGAATTCTAAGCAATTAACTTTAAAACGGTGAAACGTTATTTGATCTAAATCAGCTTTCAGCTGCACGCAAAGAAATCTAAAAAAGTGCGTGAATTAAGGTATAGTTGAACTACAGTCTTAAATGATGTGGGGAACATGAATATTTGTGTTGATGAAGGCACAAGTTACTATCGCAAATGAAAGGAAGGGGCTGACAACAGTCTTGAAGGGCCTCTTTTAAAGTAACAAAACATAGTACGCAATAAATTGCTAGAAGTTTTTAAAATATATATTAGTAATGAAGAAAATATAAAACAATTATTTATATGCTGTATAAGACACAGGGTTATTCATAATTCCAGGACACATTTAAGAGGTCACAGGAAATAAACGAAGACGGCTGATTGAGACCATCACTGAATGAAGTAAGTGAAGATAATTTCCTTCAGCAAAAAACTATTATTGAAATCATTTGCAAGACTATCTCACTCAGATTTATTATAATAAGAGAAGAACCATTTGCGATAGTATCTGAGTTAACATCCATCACAGAAGTGAAAAGAATGCACAGAGCGAGGAGGTGATGCATTAATTTAAGGGTCATTATTATCTCAGGATTTAATCACACGTGATTTTTCCCTTAGGCGTTTATGAAGGATCATTGCCTTTTCCATCATCTTTTATCCTTAGTTTCCTCGTAATTGTATCACTGATCATACGGTTCTAATCCGCGGTAGCCGAAACATATCATTATATAGATATCTGCTGTACCAGTAGAGACGAACATATTAAGCGTTTATAAAATATGTGTAAAACACTTTGTAGGCTAGCCTTTATTTCATGCTAATAAAGTTTTTCATCTATTAAATTATGCTGTAGTGTTCCTCCTTTTAACTATTAACTAAGTGTGTAGGAACCTAGTGAACTGCTGAGCGAATAATCGTTTAAGTCCAGAAACAGAAACGTGAAACTCAAGAAGGGTTAATTATCCTTTATTGCTCAAACTAAAGGTGTACAGTCGGTCCCTTTCTCAGGACGTACAACAAAGCCTCCACGTGGGCTTAAACTAAAAAATATATGAAATAAGAACTAATGATTAAGAAAAGAGATTTAACCGATGCTAGTACAAATCTAATTAGTTGGTCCCTAAATATCGAATTAAAAGCTATCAAGGCCCGTAATACAACTGAGCGTAGTAACAGCTTCGACAGACGTTGCCAAAAGGCAAACGCGCACTGGTCAAAAACTCTGATTCTCTCTCTCGAAGACAGTGGGACTTTATTACTACTCCTTCTCATTTGCATTTAACGCGATTCTTAAATCAGATTCTAAGAAACTTGTAAGCTGAAATTAGGAGAGAGAGGAAAGGAGCTTCAGTTTAAAAAAATAACTATTATAAACGTAGAATAAATCTTGCAACCCATTTAAAAAAAATTTCATAAAACTGAGAATAATAGTCAGTATTTAACATTTATCCTTAAAAAGAAATTTAGTATATTTCATTTTTATTCTCAAATATTTTGTATGAAACCATATACTGAAAACTATGTCTAATGCGAATTTCTTTAGTAAGAAATTGCAGCACGAGGCAAAAGAAGCAGTAGTTAAAGGATATACCAGTTATGCTTTTTGTGGACACTGTCATCACTTCCTCAGTGAAGGCACTTTCACCGATGGTGTTGTAAGCAGCGATGAAGAAATCATATTGTGCTCCAGGTTCTAAACCAGTTATAGTGTAAGATGTTGCGTTTGTAGGAGCTTCCCTGTAGAAATAGATTGATGAATCGGATTTCTTATATCGGATTCGGAAATTCTGTTCTGACCCACCATCAAACCCTGGAGTCCATACCAGTGTGATAGAATCTGTTGTCTCATTCACTGCTTTTAAATTTTTTGGAGGCTCTGGAGCGCCTGTAGGAATTTAACATTCAAATTATGCATATTTAAAGCAGAAAAATTAAATTTCTTACACATTACAAATATAAAATAATATTCAGAGAATGAGTTATTTAAATGTATGAAATCTCAACTTTAAAAGAATTAGGAATATAAATACAATTAGAAACTCAGACTGTAAATAATGCTAGTGGATATTGTAAATTAATTTCTTTCATTATAATGACTAAAGCAGGAACACAGTTAAACCAAGTGGTTCAGAATCGCTAAATGGTGAAAAGAAATTGCAACGGAAATCCTTACTTAATAAAACCCCAAAACCCCGAATATTACAAAATAATTATAATCGCAAATGAAATTTATAATTTTTTTTTTAATTTTCTAGAGCGAAAGCAAAATCAAAATCAAAATGCAATAGAGCATTTTCCAGCTATATGCTTTTAATTACAAAAATGCAAACTTTGCAAACCAAATCTGGAACCATGAAAGGAATCATATTTCAAAACTCGATAAGAATAAAAAAAAAGGCTACCCAAATCAGTAGGTAGTATAGGTAGGACGTTTCAAAGTTCTAGAAATATAGCTCTAGTTGAATTCCTTGAACTTATAGGTAAAGATATAAGCTAGAGAAACGTTACATGTAGTATTGCTTTGTCCAATGCATTTCTTTGATAGATGCATGATATTTTTATACTACATTTTTGCATCCACTGAAGATGCGTAAAGCAAGCATTTTCTCTTTATGGACGAAGAGTGTGAAAATATCCTAAATTTTTCAACGACTGCAAAGAGTATTCTGTTCTCACATTTGAAAAAATCTTTATGGAATTCATTTGGTGTCTTTAACCAGAAGAAAAGAAGGAATAAGAAGAAAAAGAGGAGACTTCAAAACCGTTTTTTGAGAACTGCTTTAAAAATTAGTTTTTTGTTCGAATATGTAAATTCAATTAATTGGAGATTACGTTGAAAACCTGCTTCGTAATACTGATGAAAATTGATCAAATAAAACAATAATACCTTTCTTTGAACTTTGGAAATATCCTACATAAATAATTTGATATTCTGGATAACTATATGATCTGTTCTGAAAGCAGTTTATTTTATGTATTTGTGTTTGAAATTATCTTACTTCGATAAAAAATGTCATTCGCCGATTCTGTTTTACACAATATGTTTTGAAAATATTATAAGATCAAATATCACTTAAAAATGGCCAAAAATCACAGTTCCAAATTTAAAAAATCACATAAATAATGTCATCTTTCAGATTCCAGTAACATTGGCGACCTGGCCTAAAATAATAAAAATATATTACGGATCATCCAAAAAACTCTGCGGTTTTTCATAATACATTCAAATAAAGCAGTAACAAAATTAGAAGAAAATAACATAAGCGTCATTTTTAAAAATCATGTGAATTTTTAAGATCCCTGAATTCTTGTTCATTTATACGCAGTATTTGCTGTCACTCTTTGATACAATCATTTTATTGGAATTATTTATTGTTATTTAATTTAATAATTTTATTTTTTATTTGATATCATCATTTGCGTAACTTTATTGAAATCCGTATGCCTAATATATCCAGAAACGTATTTATTTAAATAAGAAGAATCATATTTAATCGTGTTTAATAACACTAGTTTTACTTTTCTCAAAGTTAAAACATTTTCAGCGTGCATTTCTAAATATCCGAGTTTCGCATATTTAGCATGAAAACCTGCTATAAACAAAACCGAAAGCGCAGGAGCATCATTCCCGGTTTTTTTTTCTGTTCTAACTGTATTTTTATCCCCGCAGCGGGATAAGCGAACATCAGTTTAGCCCTTTAGAGAATTTTAGTTGGAATCCCTGCTTTACATGTAATTTTTGTTTGGTTCTGCTGCTTTTCAAAATGTGTAAGAGAAAAGTGATTTTAGATAATTTAAATGCACAATGTATAGGTGAGTTTCTGTAACAATTGTGGTAATGATAATGAAAGAGCTGATTCTCAGCGTTAGATTTCATTAGAGCATTTACGTGCACGAAAGAAATATTGGTTCAACATCTAAAATTTCAGGCCTCTCGTAAGCATGCATTTTCTATTAAAATAGAAAATGTATAGAAAATGTTAATAAATAAATTTAAAACAACTTCCTTTTCTGGGATGCAAAATTAGGTGATTTTCATAAATTTGGCAGGCTAATGTTCTGTTCTGTGTTACTGGCACTGACAAGTTGAATAACTAATGGTTAAATCCAAGACTACAAAAAAGACTATCCTTAAGAGATAAAATGATGGTACCCCGCATCCGTGAGTATTCCTGTGATTTAGAATGGTAAAACCCATGAAAAATCAATAAGATAATTTAACCTAAATCCTTACAAACAAAATTGCGTTGGGAATTCTTAGAACAATCCGGCAAATATAGAGAAAATAAACATAAATTAAGACTACACATTTTAATTTCAAATTACGTTCAGAATTTATTCACAACTAAGAATATGCACAGATCATGGTACAAATTAGATTATACTACCCTACTCTCCCGGGAGTATTCTGTACCGCGATATAAGCATTCTGTACCGCTCCACTCACATAAGAGACAATTCCTTCTCGTGATTGGCTATGGCTTCCGATGACATCATTTCCTCTACGCTTAAGAATGCCTTTGCTTGGGATCGAGAGTACACCTCCATACCGTTTTTTTTTTTTTTTACATTTTGATAGCAGTAACGAAAAGATTATTAAGTGCATTGTATTTTTGTTGCTATGAGATTACTACACTGTAATGTGGTAATTTAATGTATGTAGTGATTGTTTTTCCTAGAAAGAAAAACTATTATTTCTTCTTGTGTTAACTCCGTAAATGTGTGTTAAGTGCAGAGATTTTTAATAAATGCATCCTTAATTTAAAACCCTTCACATTAACGCTATTGTGATTATTAATTTATTTTTGAAGTTAGACTAATATAGATTTAGAACAGAGAAATAAAGATAGGTATTTAAAATTGAATATTACTTTGCTCATTTTTAATGTGTAACATCTTTTGTACCTTTGCATAAAGATAGTGTTTGTCAGAGAAGGAAATTTCTTTTCTTATACACGTGCATTAAATTCAGCGACAATATTGAATGCACTTTTTTCTTTAAGGCAACAAAATATTAGAAATGCATTCTAATATTCTGGGGACATTAACATGGAAATAACATAACATTCGCAAAGGAAATATTTTCTGCAATGAGAAAGGAAAAGAATGCAACAAGATTGCAATAATTATAATGTACTTTCTAGCATACAATCCATGTATAGTTGAATCGAGAACGTCGTGTTTCGGTTTTTGCACTAAATTCGTGAACTCAGCTATTTATATAATCTATGTACTTAAGATTTCTTCTAACATTAACATCATCTTTAGATAGATTTTATAATTTTATTAATGAAACAGGAAGCCATCTGCAGAGCACTGCAGCTATTGTTTTTCGTTTCAAAGAAAATAAACGATAATTTTCACGCTTCCGTGTCATTCAACGAAAGCAAAACCCTAGGAATCTTCTCTAAAGTTCATTACGCCGATAGAAAATGATGTCATTCGAAAGTATGTCTAATCACAAGTACAGAGTTTTCTCTATGCGCGTGGCGTGGTACAGTTTTGCATTTAACAGATAAAGTGCGTGATGAAGTTTAATAAAAAACTGCAAGAAGATTTTGAATAAAAAATCACTGAAAATAGAGATTGCGTAGGTAAAAGAAAGTGATTTATTATATTGTATTTTGTTTTGTCCAATGCATATGCAGAGGAGAGACAGACAGGTAAAGTTTTTTTTTTATTTTTAGACCGCTTATTTTATTATTAGCAGAAGTATTAAAGGGTGTGTTTAGCTCAGCACAGTGTGATGCTTCTTTGGTGATATGAAGCAACTCCAATGATGGAACACAGCAATAACTTTTATTTAACACTCAAAAAAATGGCGACATACAAACAAGAAGAGAAAAAACATATTTTAACATTTAAAAATAAATTACATTCTTCGTGCGAGAGTCGCACGAGGCTCTCGAGTCTGGTTTCAAATATTGCCATTCACAAATACCTTAATGTTCATCTATTTAAATTATTTAAACTACAAGATTTTAATAATATGTAAAGCTGTTACAACCTCTCCCCCAACGGAGAGATTTTTACCGAAGGGAAAAGTTCTGTAAAATTCGAAAGTATACAAGCTCGGCTTGCTCAAATGCTTAAAGAGAAAAGATCACTTCTCTCATAAGTTTCCAAATGTCAGGCCAAAATTTTTAAGCTTTAAACAAATATTTTTATACCACATTTAAATAGAAAAAGATGCAAAATGATCAAATTAGTCTTCCTTTTCCTTGACGGCGCCTAGATTTTTTCCATGGTGGACCAGTTCCTCGGCTATAATTCACAGCAAAGCATTTCCTCAGTTCATCTGTGCCTTTTGGATAATATTCATTTGTCATTTGCTTTCGACAATTGTTTTCTTCGTCTATTAGTAGCGGCTTTGATATTAAATCAAAAGCCGAAAGATGATGATAACGCTGCATTGCAAAATGATTCTCAGTATTAATTTCTTCATCGTTTTTCAAATTTTCGTGAAAATCTTCCACGTTTAATTCCGGTGATTTAACTTCTTCAAAGATATCTCTGGATGCTTTATTTTCTTCTTTCATCGGTTCCAACATCTTCTCTTCAGCTATTTTTCTGTTCTTTTGAGCTCTAGTAGAGACAGCATTAACCTGGTGAGGACAACTATCAGGTTCCTTTCCTTGTTTATTCAACAGTGCAAAAGTTCGATTGCCTAATAAATACCTTCCTTTGCCGAGTTCATTTCTAATAATGGCAGCCTTAGTTATTACTCGTCCAAGATCGCAATTTAGTTCGATCTCAGCCAATGGTAAACAGGTTGGATTCAAATCTAATGGCTGTTGCACCCACACATTTTCACCTGTCAGCATTTCCGGCGTGATGTATTTGCGACAAACTATATCAATACTAGCACCTGAATCCCTTAATATAGGAATTGTATGACCATTTACGTAACCCATACTAGTATAAGGTAATAGAAATTTATCCTCTGGTTTTGCACTAATTCTGTTAAGATTAGCAGGAGATTCAGTACTATTCTTAAGTTTTGGACATTGGGGTCAAAATGTTGATAGGACCCACACTGATAGCATTGTGGCGTTTTTCGTTTTTCATATTTATCATCTGGACGTGGACTTCTAGGTCTATGAAACCAGCTTTGCGAATTAAATCCTGATGACAATTTTTTTCAGCTTTATTTTTATTATCTGAAGTCAATTTACCTTGAGTTAGTGCATTGTATCTTTCTTTCTGCCGATCCACTGCAGGCCTCTTTCGAAAGTTTCCGCAAACGTTTTCATAGGCATCAAGTTTTTCAGCTAATTTTTTCGATGAAATCATCTCTACCCATTCATCAAGAAAATGATCTCGAATTTCAGGAGGAACTCGACGTTTAAGTTGGTCAAGCACCATCAAATCTAGCAACTGATCAAAAGTCTTAACTCCTAGACCAGTCACCCATTCTTTGCAATAATTTTCTATTTCATAATTGAAATCCACCCATGTGGATTCGGCACTTTTTTGATGTTTCATAAATTTCTGCCTAAACTTTTCCGGGCTTAATTTAAACCGTCTTAACAATAAATTTTTCACGTGTTCATAGTCTTTAGCTTTATCGGAGGGTTCTCTATCTATTAACTGGGTTACTTCGTAAGGAAGTAGTCCTAGTAAATGAGATACAAATTCTTCTTTATCAATTTTAGCCCATTCTGCTTGCCTTTCAAACAATAGCAAATATAGACTGATATCTCCTTTCTTGTCAACGAATTTCTGAATAAGGTGACGCAGCTCCGTTTTCGGCCGGATCTGTCCGGTATTTTGAGACTTTGTCTCTGCTTCAAGTCTTAATCTCTCTAATTCATACTGTTCGTTCCTTCTCCGCTCTTCTGCTTCTTCCTGTCTCCTACGTTCTTCTCTTTCCGTTCTTCTCTTTCCTCCCTCGCTTTCCGTTCTTCTCTTTCCTCCCTCGCTTTCCGTTCTTCTCTTATTGTGTCTAAGACTCCTTTGACGAATACCTCATCATAATCTCTACTCTTCTTTCAACAATTTTCTGTTTTAAATCGACTATTTTCAAATCTGCAGTCACATGAACTCCCAGTTCAGCTGCGAGATTTTGCAAATCTTCCTTACGAGCTCTTCCTAAGTAAGACATTGTTTCTACGTTTAAAATTAACGAACACTGTGTTCCTTATATTTCCTCAAAATAGCTCAAAAATGAAATATTTAAATTATATGAAGTTCATTCTCTCTACCACATTAATTGTGATTAAAATAAGAATAATAACATAGAGCAATATATATATCTACCGTCTGCACAACTAAAATGAATATTAAATATAATATCAAATACGGTAATAAAATAAGACAATTTAATATTAACAGGAAATAATAATCTGGTATCGCTAATATTGCGTTCAGTGATGAACTAATAAAATAAAGCAATTCTATATGAACAGAAAGTAGTAATCTGGTATCACTAATATTATGTTCAGTGATGAACTAATAAAATAAAGCAATTCTTTATGAACAGGAAGTAATAATCTGGTATCACTAATATTATGTTCAGTGATGAACTAATAAAATAAAAATACGCACGATTATTCGATCTTGGTCGGTGCTTCCAAAATAATTAAGACTGTGATGCTTCTTTGGCGATATGAAGCAACTCCAATGATGGAACACAGCAATAACTTCTATTTAACACTCAAAAAAATGGCGACATACAAACAAGAAGAGAAAAAACATATTCTAACATTTAAAAATAAATTAATTCTTCGTGCGAGAGTCGCACAAGGCTCTCGAGTCTGGTTTCAAATATTGCCATTCACAAATACCTTAATGTTCATCTATTTAAATTATTTAAACTACAAGATTTTAATAATATGTAAAGCTGTTACAACAGGATCTTGTACTTCAAATTTATTCATCTTGTTGTAAACAAAATTGTCTGCATTAGGCTGAAAACAAAATTTGTTCCATAAAAGGATTTTTCTTGTTTAAATGATACTGAATTTTCATTATCATTAATACCCATGTTGAATTTAAGCATTAGTTAAATAAAAATTCAAAGCTATACATTTTATTAAATTAATTAAAAAATTGCTTATGATAAATTATTTCTGCGTTTGGAAGGAACTTAATTCAAAGCTATCACTTAGAACAACTCAAAATCACATTTTCGAAAAATGAAAAATGAAGCCACTGTGCAATATTTCACGAATGTAATCAAAAACAAAACAAAAAAAATCTATAACCCATTACCTTTCTTTATAAGCGTGAATTTGACAAAGTCATATCCCAGATGATTTCTGGCAACACAGGTATATTCACCGAAGTCTTCTTGCCGAACCCTCTTGATGGTCAGTATGCTACACCACTGGGTTTCGGTTGTCTTTGCTGCTCGAATATCATATCGACCAACATCTAAACCTTGTATAATCACAGTGCTGTTGAAGGACCATACAAAACTGATATTGCCATCACCTTCTGCAATGCAGCGCAGTTCCACCTTGGTTGAGAGCTCTGTCGCTATTTTATTATTCACTAAATGCCTCACGATGGTAGGTTTATCTAAGTAATGAAAACAAAAATGTAATATCCGTGTGCATTACGGAAGCAGATATAATCTAAAATTGAAAATTAAACTTAGCTTAACTATACTTGCAATATATATCTGATATCATAATAATTTCAGGAACTTTGGTTTGTATCATTCTGTTCTTTTTCGGTAGAAATCTCGTTCATATTCAAAATCAACATTTCAAACTCCAAATTAGAACATCGATAAACTTTGATTGTTTTTGATGTTTGACTTTGAACTATGTGATAATGTAATTTGTACATAAGCATGTAGTAATTTATACATAAGCATGTAGTAATTTATACATGTAATAATGTAATAATTTTAGCATTTAATAACTTTTTAATATGCAATAGAGGAAAATTCATAAATATTTCAAATTTCGAAATATATAAAATAAATCAATGAAAGTCATTATGTTGACCAATAATTTTAATGATTATAACACAAAATATGTTATGAAATATTTTCACATTAGAACACACTGTGCATTATGGATGCAAATGCAATCTATGAAAGATATTATATAATTATTCAGTACACTTCCAAAATCATAACTGGTTTTCGAAGAAATAAATATTATTTAGAGAAAAAAGGGGTAAATATGACATCAAAAGTTATGTTTCGGAAGTATAAATGGAACGTTAAACAACAATTTAGAAAGTTAAAGAATATTTTATTCTATATTATGTAATGTACAAGTAGAATACAGAATTTGTTTCCGCTACACTTATTGCAATGATTTTGCAAGTAGTTGCAAAGTTTAATTTTCATCGTGATATTAATTCAACAAATATTGAGAATTAACTTCATCAGCGCATCGTCAAATACTCTGAGAAAAGCAAGAAAAATGCACATATTTCTTTGTTCATAAATTTTAGCATATATCCTCTAGTTTATTTTATAATATTTTTTTTAGTGATTCTAGAAAGATGAAAATGACCTTTTAATGATTTGCGATCCTACTGGACAGCAAAATGTTTAAAATTTAGGGAGGCAAAGGACGGAAAGAAGCCGAGCAGCTGACTTGTTTCACCTATAAACATATAGGCACGAAAGCGACTAACGAAAAATTATAAATGAGGTTACCAGCTGCAGCTTGAAATTACTTTGTATTTCTCTTAAACTGATTCAGTAACATATGCTTTGCTATGGATTATATTGCGCATATTTAAATTTAACAAAACCGTACCTTTACAACCTATACATAATGAAATTCTGATAGATTAAAGTTCTTATAGCCCTTGGTAATGATTCATTAACATTATTCACATGTGTATTATGTATTTTAACATAGTCTCTTAATATGTAGTGAAATTACTATGCTATTTACTGTTGTGACTGAAACTTGCAATACATATATATTGCTTGATATATCTACCATTATTTATCATATTGCACTTATGTTCAGTCCGTTCATTTTTTAATATAAATATGTCGTACTAATGTTATTGCGTAGTATAGTGCACTGTTCCAGGCTCTTCTGTATTACAGGTATGTTTACACTGTATGTCTAATCTTATCCATTTGAACAGCTGTATTACGAGTAAATTGTAGTTCTATATCCTAAACATGGGATAATACTGGTTTGTATCTGTGTATCATCCTCAGCCATCTGGATTATTCAGTGGATTATTCAGTTATGGCAAAGCACACGAGGGCTATCTGCCTAAAGGGAGGGATGCCTTCGTGGAGGACTTTCTAAGGGAAACTGGCTCGTATACACGTTACACATGGGGAAAACCACGAAAACGCCCATGCAGCCAGCCCGTTCGCGGGATTTGAACCTCAGATCGAACTACCAGTGTTCAGCGTCTTTACCGCTCGGCCGCTGGTGGGCCCTCAGCCATCTGTGGAATTAAATAACTAATTAATATTCAAACTGTAATTTATATTTAAAAATGTTGTCTGATTACATTCTTCAACCTTGGGTCTTTTTTTAACAAATACAGCTTCATTTTACGAAATTTCAGTTTTGAGAAAGAGTCAATATATTACCAATGGAATGGTTAACGGAAGGAAACTGAAAAGGATTATCGCAGATAAAAATATAAAGGCAAAAAGAGGAAGAAAAAGTATCTTCGATACAATTTTAGACAATGACTAGCGAAACATTTCCATTATTATATTTGCAACATATTTTGATTGCCTATGGATAACAAATTTCGATTTTTGACATTTATTCCGGGACTCAGCGAAAGTAATGCAAGTGGTTACATCTTACTAGCTGATTCTTCTCCATTTTTTCCAATTTTTTGTTTTAATATTATTTTAGCTTGTGAGAGAAATTTGGTATGGTTTAACGCCATTTCGACTTACTAAAGTTTTTACGGGAATGTCCTAAAGCAGAAGAAACATATAAACTAGACCGTTTTCGATAGGAGATAATAAGTTGAAAGATTTGAATAAGAGAATATCCTTTTTTCAGTAATATACATTTACTATATCTATTGCTCAGAAGATTCTGAAAAGGTCATCAGATTCTGGAAAAAATGTAATGCTCTTTTTTTTTCAGAATCTGAAAGGATTTAAAGACTACAAGGATTAAAGGACTATAAGGATGTTTAAAATGTATAATTAAAATAGCAAATTTTCCAGAAGCATTTCCGTACTTTCTCCTCATATTAACAATATTTAATTTTGAAAATAGAAATTACTTTGAAATGTGCATTTTTGTATGGTAAATGTTTCGAATATGACAATGAAAAAACGTGATTGTAATTGATAGTAGTAGTTATAGCTGGAAATTTTGGAATTTTAATGTATGATTATAGTTGTGTAAATAAAACAGTACATTTGCAAATCATTGGTTCCTTAGAAATAATATTTGAGAGGTCTATCTCTTTTAAAATATTGCCAACATCTACTTACATAAGACGATCAAATTCGCCGTTTTCACATCCGGTTCACCAATCCCATTAAAAGCTTCGCATTCCAGTGTGCCAGAATCTTGCTTCGATACGTTAAACAGAGTGAGAAGAGATCTTCCATTCTCTGTGAACTGCTGGTTCTCTTTCAGTATAACCTCACCACCTTTTGTACTCCACCTTATCATGTCAGGGATGATGGGATTGGCTGAGATGCTACATTCAAAAAAAGCATTGTCGCCTTCTGCAACGACTACCATCGTCGTAATGTTGATCACAGTTGCTGGATCTGCAAAAAGAGTAATGGTACATTTCAGTTAGAGAGAGATTTGTTGCTTTACTATAAAATCCGCAAGAAAAGTAATGGAATATTTCAATCAACGAAAGCTTTGTTGGTAACTTTCAGTATTTACTTTCAACTCTACCGGAGTATTAAATGTTACTAATTTGAATGATATTTAAGTATAGATACACCTGACAACAACGACTTACATTTGTCTCATGGATTAGCTCTCTTTCCTGTCAATAATCATCGTTGTTTAAAACAATTAAATCGTGTAATATAATAATTCAAACACTTGGAAAGGCTCACTGAAAATGAAAACTTAAGCTTTAGAATGTAATAAACGCATTCTCTGTCCAGTCTTATTAATAAAAATGCTTCATTTACTCCCATGGTTCTCTCTTTCTTCCTACTAATTTTACTGCTTGAAACCCGGGTAAAATGGGCTGTGTATAATATTTCTGAGAAGGCAGTTTAAATGTTAAATACATCATATTAAAAAGCACACATTAAAGGCACACTAATATCATTATATTATGTATTTAACAGAATTTATAAGTTTCGTTAACATTCCTTTAACATGCACTAAATACTTTCCTGTTTGTGCTCACATTTTACGTTGTTACTATAAATCATAAGATTCTAAATCATATGCTGAAACCTCAAGGGCGACAAATGAGCTTTGGAAATCAATATGAGAATAAATACGATATGAGAATAAATACAATGTCTGTGACATTTTATTTGCGTTCATCTAATAGTTGCAATTAATCATAACTTATCGCTTTACCGTCTTCACAGTCTAGCTCAGTACAGCTATTTATGCAGATTTTATGGCAAGCGGCGTAATTTAAATTGAGAGGAAGATTCGTAACCAGCATGAGTTGTAATAAAACGTGGCCACTGCTGCGGCTAACAGCTTTGTTTAGCGGACCCGCAGTTAGATTCGAAGTAAACGCCACATCCGGGACGCGTAATGGCAAACCACACATTGAGTTGATCAATGTTAACAAATTTCGCATCCTGCGCATGCTCAGTGGGTTGCCGTTGGCGTGGGAGGAAATATTGGCGACTAAGGGGGGCATAAGCAATCCTACGCAAGCCTTGCGCGTCATGTAGGTCTTATCAACTGTTTGTAATTGCAATACTACCGAAATTTGTTTGTGCTTAATGTATTTGCTTCTGTTTCATTTCATTCTGGTTTATTTTGTTCACAAACGTTATGTTTAATATCGGTTATTTATAATAATTTCCTTGACTCAGTAATTTAAACTGGATTTATTTTTTATTTTGTTAAAGTATATATGAATGTAACATATGGTAAATACGCGATTGCTTTTATTTCTCAGAAGTGTAATCAATAAAGATTCAGCTAATATATCTTGTAATGGTCCCTGTTTTGTAATCATTCTTAAACGAAAATTTGCGTAATTTACAATCGATATTTACACTATAAGTAATAAAGCAACTTACAACATACTAAGTTTCAAAATCTCGAACTGTTTATGCCCAGATAACAGAATATGAACCACACACCGTATTTATCTTCTTTTAAAATTGTACCAAAGTCGTAATTGCGCCACATTCTCTTCTGGGCATGCGCAGTATGCGAAATTAATTTAAGATTGATCAACTGAACGCGCAGTTTGCCATTACGCATTCGGCGCAGCTTCGATAAGCTTGACTTTTAATACAGTTCAATTTATTCTGTGCAGTTGATTTTTCATGCTTTAAGCAGTAGCACCGATGTTGCAGCCAGTTAAATTCTTGTGTATTCTTAACATTCTATATTTCGTGTTGCACATCAACTTAAGACATGGCGAAAAAATAAAGGTAAGGTATTTTTCATTTTGTGTGTTTCTTGTGTTCACAGTTAATTTAAGAAAAAGGCAATAATTCGCCATCGCAGTAACATTTGAGGGAGAGTGGTTAGTAGATGTACTGGTGTAGCTGATAAGAAAATGTTCCTACACCTTTAATTGTCTTCCGTTTCAATTAAAGGATCATTTAATACTATTAGAATTATTTTAGGTAAAACATATTCGTCCTTGCTCATTGCCATTTCTTCCTGGGCAGTTGAATCTAGCGTTTGCGATATTGTTCTGCTGCAACACCTTTTAACAAGGAGGAATAAAATTATAATCAAAAATGATTTATTGATAATCCATATTGCAACCATCTTATCTTTGATGCCTTTCAAAACTGCATTTGAAAATGTTTGTACAAAATTAACCGCATTTATCAAAATGTAAAATTAATTAAACTTTGAAGTATAGTTTTACTATATAAGTGTAACACATCAGCATGTAAATATAGCATACATTATGCTCATCTAAGGACTATTATTTTTGTCTGTCTTTGGTACCAGACCGATTACATATTTACAGAGGGTATTCATGCACAAAATTGAGCTCAAATTTTACTAAATAATCTTGAAGGTATATAATAAGTAAAACATTTACGAGCAAATAATAACCAAACAATTTAATAAATTTAAAACAAAGATTTCTTTGTTTATTTTCGGAAAACAATATTTATGTACAAACTGAGTAATAGCTAATATTTATGCACACAATTCAATAGTTCCCCAAGCAGAATATTTCGAATAAATATTTTTACAAGCTATATCCTACCGGACACTATCCAACAAAAGTGTTTGGAGGTCAATGATAACAAGTCAGCAGTTGCCCAGGCAACCATGTTCATTAAATTTAAAAAAAAATTAAACGACTCAGTGTCATAGAATAAAAAATAAAATTTTAAGATTTAACTCTATACTCTACATTTTAATTGTATACAATAATAGTATGGAAAAGAACTTAAGAACTCGCACAAAAAGTAAATTTTCTCCCTCTTTCACGCATGCCTTCGTGGTGTAATTGGAAACATACACGATGTATTAGAGAGGTCCAGGGTTTGAGTTCCCGCGAGGGCTTACACGTTTTTCACGTCTCCTGCTTTAAAAATAAATAAATAAATAAATAAATAAATAAACTGTTGACTCTACAAGTGGCGCCCGAACTAAAAGGTTGTGGATGATAATTCATTACCATCAGGATTTGGTGATTGGGTCCCCTCTTCCTCAGTCGTCCTTTAAAGGGGGAGTATATAAGATATTTTTTTCCTCTTTTCCGTATGTCGTCACGATGCCATTGGAAGCATACTCGATGCATATTCGAGAGATCCAGGGTTAGAACCCCACGTTGACACTGCGTGGACTGGATACATTTTACACGTCCCATGCTTCAAAAGAATATCCTAAGGAATCTACGGTGTCATACGGTCAGTTACAATTAATAATTTAACCATACTGATACGATCTCAGTCTGATTGTTTCCGGAGTAAATGATGTGATTAAATTTAATATTTCACTAAAGAATTCCCAACGTTTGCAAAATATATTACTGAGTTTGGTGTTATTATTTGTAGTAACATTTGAAAGCATGTTAATACAAATAATAGTATGGTTTCTATTCTCAGTCCTAAATTTAAATAAATTTTATGATACCTACAGGTAAAGGTAAAAGTATGGGGGACACCAGCGATGTACCATAGGTCAACTGGTAATGCCTTCCCATACTAACTCTTTGAGAGAAAAAAAAAGGGGGGGGGTAATTGCAAGTTTTATAAGAATTTGCATAGACTGAAGCTTTTCAAAAGGTCTAAAGTTTGCCTATTATGGTACATCGTGCAATTCCATAGTACGCCCCGCATCCAGTATTTATTAAAAATAATGGTGTAGGGCATAAGTTGATTTCAAAATAGTAGGAATACAATTTGAGATTCACAAGATAAATTGAACATCTGATTTGGTGCAACAAAAATAGGAGATAAACATAATTAATAAACAAATAAACATAATGAGATAATTATAATTAGTACTGGCAACACAATGTTAAATGAATTGTTATAATAATGCTAAAGAGGTGTCCATGGGTTATTTCAGATATATTGGCTTATTGCAGTTTATAAAGTTCACGAGCGGATCCATTTTGTCCATAATCACAGCATGTAAAAGTTCACTAAGTTTAAACTGTATGTGGACTTACACTTGACAGAGATCTAGGCCGTAGGAAGAGAGTCGTTGCATAATTTTCTGAAATTTTGGATATTGATGTTTATCTTTAATTAAAAATCTTTGGAATGTCAGGAGGTCAGTTCTTGGGGATTTTATGTGAATATCCTCAGTTAAGGGGCATGAGAAAACGTAGCGATCAGGAGTTCCCTGTTCCCTACATATGCAGATGTCAGAATTTGCCAAATTTCTTGCGTAGAAATATGTGGGGAAGGGTCCATGTCCTGTTATAAAGTAACTTAGGGAAGGATTCGAGTTCAGAGATGCTAAGCTTACATTGGGCATCAAGTTATATGTGCGTCTTCCCTGTGGAGCATTGTTCCATAAATCTTGCCAAGATTTTGAAGCAAGTTGTTTTAGTTGGTACTTGAAATTTGAGCGAGGCCACGGAATGATGATTTCAGTACCATCTTGATTAATAGCTGCTTCTTTGGCTAGTTCATCTGCCTTGATCATTACCAAAATGGCCACTATGTCCTTTGATCCATGAAATTTGAATTTTGTAGTTTGGGATTTTTCCAAGAAGAGAATTTATGTCGGATATCAATGGAGAGGAAGGTAAGGGATTTTTAATAGCTAGAATAGCTGCTTGGGAGTCAGATTTTATGCTAAATTCGTTGAGATTTTTGAGAATGGCTATTTCAATCAATCGCTGCTTTTATAGCTGACAATTCCGCTTGGAAAACACTATTATTATTATGGAGATGGCCTTTCCATTTGATGATATTTGAGGAGCTAATTTGAAAAAGACTGCGGAACCAACTTTTCCTTCAATTTTTGATCCATCAGTATAAGCAATTGGAGATGAACTTGAATTTTCTTCAGACGTGATGAATATTATTTTGCTGAAGCGAAGCACTGGATGGATGAGATTGGGGTTAGTTTTCTTTTCATAGTTGGATGGCCAAAAGGTTTGGTTATTGAATTCTGC